ATCCATGGCATATTCAACACTATATTAAGGTCTATAACAAAAATTTTATCATCAACCACATAGTAAGCTTTAACTAAAAAAAATACATGAGATGCACAATGTAAATGCAAGAGAAAGGAAAACTTCACCTAAGAATCAAGAATTCCAAGCCAAATTCATAGGATTTCCAAGCAAACTCCAAACTTTATGGACCTTCTTCTTCCCCTTTCTCTTTTCCCTTGTCTTCTCCTAGAGTTCTAAGAGGTTTTGGGTGAGAGATGTGAGAAAAAATGGAAGAAAAGGGGCTGAAATCTGTGTATTAAACACAGCAGCCCCCAATTCTACTATTCAGGGGCTGAAAAATTAATTTTTTCTCCGAAATTACGATTTTGTCACTAAACATTCTAATTTGATCCATATTACTACCCTAAGATTTTTCGACATTTCGAATTCATTTTTAATGTTATTTTAACCTAAAAACATTTAATTTTTTGATTTATCTCAAAATTAAAGTTAATTTACACCCGAAACACTAAAATTACTATTTTACCCCATCCGAACCGTTATATGAGCTAAACATCTATTCCAAGTTTTTCGGACCTCCCGAATTCAATGAAAATATTATTTTGACCCAAAAATATTAATATATTTACTTAGTTATNATAGGATTTCCAAGCAAACTCCAAACTTTATGGACCTTCTTCTTCCCCTTTCTCTTTTCCCTTGTCTTCTCCTAGAGTTCTAAGAGGTTTTGGGTGAGAGATGTGAGAAAAAATGGAAGAAAAGGGGCTGAAATCTGTGTATTAAACACAGCAGCCCCCAATTCTACTATTCAGGGGCTGAAAAATTAATTTTTTCTCCGAAATTACGATTTTGTCACTAAACATTCTAATTTGATCCATATTACTACCCTAAGATTTTTCGACATTTCGAATTCATTTTTAATGTTATTTTAACCTAAAAACATTTAGTTTTTTGATTTATCTCAAAATTAAAGTTAATTTACACCCGAAACACTAAAATTACTATTTTACCCCCTCCGAACCGTTATATGAGCTAAACATCTATTCCAAGTTTTTCGGACCTCCCGGATTCAATGAAAATATTATTTTGACCCAAAAATATTAATATATTTACTTAGTTATCCTTATCAACCTTAAACACCTCTAAAAATTAAATTTGACACAAAAGTCAGTACGTTCGCACTTCAAGCTTACGCGACTATTCTTTAATAACGATTCGAAGTTTCTCTCATCATTTTAATTATTTTAAAAATACTAACAAATTAATGTCATTTATATTTATATAACACACGGGATCTCACACAATCAGAAAGCTCGATGACGGGAGACTGGTTTCATCTTCCTCCTTTGCGAAAAAAGTACTCTATACTTTTTAGAGAGTTTTTAGAGCTTTACTAGATTTGGAAAAATTTTCCATTACTTTCCTTCCTTAATTTTGTGATTTGCAAATCTTCTGTGGCTGGCTAATCTTTTATACTAAGGCTAGGGGAGATTTCATTTCATTTGGGTATGTAAATTAATCTTATGTTCTTCATTTGATGATTACTTTATTAATTCAATCTATCTTATTTTAGCAAATGTTTCTCTCTATATAATTCCTTCAGTTATTATGCTAATTGTGATGGATGCTTGAGATCCCCTATGAGTTGAATAGCTAGATGTACATGTTTGGGTTAANTACGAGATTTGTCATTTAATCACTCAAATTCTCTAACATTCAAAATATTATATATAAACCCCCTAAAGTTTGTACACGCATAATATTTAGACCCCTCCCGCCAATGTTTATTAATATATTTGTTAGTCAATTACACTCAAATTATCTAAAGTTTGTAGGTGTATAATACTTTAAACTCTCAAATTTAAAATATTATATTTACACAAAATACTCTAATTAAATATATAATATCAAATATTTTAAATTTTACAACCAAAATTTATGTTCTATTATATCATTTATTAAAATAAAATAAAAAATAAAAATATATTTTTTTCTTAAAAAAACGTAATTATTATACAATTATACTATCTATTAGAATAAAACTAAAAATTCAAACAAAGGGTCTAAGTCATTCATAATAAAATCAAAAATAAAAATCTAATTTTTTCTTGAAAAATCATAATTAGTATATAATTATATTATCTATTAGAATAAAACTAAAAAAGTAAATAAGAGATAAAATAACATTTTATATTTNTTCCAAATGTAATTGAAATAGTACCCAATGCCTTAATATTTTTCCACATTACTTTTCTTAAACAATTTTAGTTTTTTTGTTTTAAATTCCAATTATCAAATCGCTCTCTCAAACATACAACATATTTTCTTTCGTTAATCCTTTTTCACTCCATAATTTTTCATCTCCCAGTGGATCTACCTTAGAATCTACCAATAATTACTACTTGTTTGACAACCTATACTTAGGTTTATAACTTTTGAGGCAAAGCAACCCACACATATACACACACACAACCGAGCAGCTCAAAAGCTATTCTCCATGCCCACACCTTTAAGATGAATGGAAAGTCAAGCAGAGCATCAGATTGAATAGGGTAACCTTTGATCAAGAGAAAGGTGTTGAGTCTATAGTTTCCATGTTCTAATGTTTACGTTATGGACTATACTTCTAGAACATAGAAGGAGTTTCAATCGAGTCTCTGAGTGGTGTGTTGTAACTAGTAGCGCATCATGCATCTCAAGAGTACCTACATTGTGCAGAAATAATGTAAATTAATCTTTTGCTTCAATGGACATAGATGCACAAGCTATTGCTTCAATTTGCATTTGTTATCCAACAAGGGAGTGTCATAGATGAAGAAATAGAACTGTAAAATAATAGTAAGAAGCAAATAAGATTTTAGCCATCGCACTCAGATTTTCAACCACGGAAGACAAGATCATCTTTTGCTTCAATGGAAAAAGTGTTGTATCTTGAAAACGTTAGCGGAACTGAGGATTGTTCACCATGCAAATCTAGTCCGTGATTGCAACTTGAACAGGATGCCTTTTAGAAAAGAAAAGAGAGAATTATATTTAAACTACACGAGATTTGTCATTTAATCACTCAAATTCTCTAACATTTAAAATATTATATATAAACCCCCTAAAGTTTGTACACGCATAATATTTGGACCCCTCCCGCCAATGTTTATTAATATATTTGTTAGTCAATTACACTCAAATCATCTAAAGTTTGTAGGTGTATAATACTTTAAACTCTCAAATTTAAAATATTATATTTACACAAAATACTCTAATTAAATATATAATATCAAATATTTTAAATTTTACAACCAAAATTTATGTTCTATTATATCATTTATTAAAATAAAATAAAAAATAAAAATATATTTTTTTCTTAAAAAAACGTAATTATTATACAATTATACTATCTATTAGAATAAAACTAAAAATTCAAACAAAGGGTCTAAGTCATTCATAATAAAATCAAAAATAAAAATCTAATTTTTTCTTGAAAAATCATAATTAGTATATAATTATATTATCTATTAGAATAAAACTAAAAAAGTAAATAAGAGATAAAATAACATTTTATATTTGAGAAGTCTAAGTATTATACGCCTACAAACTTTAAGGGATTTTGATGTAATTTATTAACAAATATACTAACGGATATTGACTGCAACTCTGCAAGTGTCTAGGTGTTACACATATACAAACTTCAAGGGGTCTGTGTATAATATTTTGAATATTAAGGGTCTGAATGATTAAGTAAGAAACTTTAGGGGATTAGAGTGTAATCCTCTCAAAAGAAAAAGAAAACAGTGCCGATGGATGTTAAAAACGTGAAATAAATTGACGTTTTTAAACTAAAATTTTATTTTAAAAACATCAATTGAATTGACGTTTTTAAGTTAAACATTTTTTTTTGTAGACTAATATTTTTATTTTAAAGATATCAATTAGACTAACATTTTTAAGCTAAAAATGTCAATTCAACTGATGTTAAAACTACCCAAATTTGGAAAATATTTTTAAAACCGTCTCATTTTGAGAATTATTTTTTCAAACTACTTGGGTTTAGCAAAAAGTTTAAAGAAGAACGTACTCGACACATTTTATTCTTTTCTCCGGTGACAAACCCTCTATCGAACTTATTTGACCCACACTATGGAAAGGTCCAAACCAACCACCTTTACTTGTGAATTTTTTTTTTTTTTGTTGTGGTACATTGGAATATGAAAAAAGGGTTATTTAAACCCTCTAGTAAAAGACGTACAAGAAAGATTATTCAAAATAAGTTGGCCCAACATAGACAGTGGGCTTTCAAAAAACACAAAAGGATCATGTTGATGGCCTCCCTGGCTTGCCATCTTATCAGAGCAAAAATTTCCTTCTCTCAAGGTATCGAGAATAGGAGTATTGGTCAGTCTCATAATGTACTTGCAATTAGCAATGATATTCCTTTGGAGATGAACATCCAATATCACAATGTACAAAAGGTTGAAAATGACCATTATACTTGATATTTCTCTTTTAAAAGAAGTGAAACTCGCTTATCTAAAAATTAGAGGGAAAAAATTGCCAAACATACAAGTAATCTCATTGGGATATTTAAAGAGCACATCAAGAAGAATAACAGAAAGCAACACAAATAAACACCCTAATCCATACTATAGGGTTAGGGTGTTTTATTGTCGATTTTGTTAACAATTACCCGCATCGCGGGTGTGTGGGTTTGTTATATAAGGAGTTACAATTGCGTTTTTTGCTTTGTTGTTTTGTTTATGACTTAATTATACGAGTATTTTCTTTTGGATATCTTGATGAAATTTTGATTCCAGGCATTGTTGTTTCCAAGTGCTTTTGCTGAGTGGTTTGATTTTCAGTTTAGAACTGAGTTGTTTCTAGTCAAAATGTTCCTTTGAAGAGTAAGCTGGCGAGGGTAATGTTTCTTCTTGACTGAGAAGAGCTCTCAGGGAAGATCCAAAAGGAGGATAAGTGTTCTTCTCATAGTGTGAACTTGCAAGTTGAAACTATGTAGCAGTTGGATAATTTTGAGTTTGAGAATCTGTTGGGATAATATCAAAAAATACTGGGAGAACTGCGTTTACTAACAATTTGCGGTCCCCAGTGGTGTTATCCCCATATCTGCTTTCTAACTTGGATTGCTGGATGTGTTTCTCTTCATTGATTCTGTGTGCCACAGCATGGGATTTTTGGTGATGGAGATGCTCTTCCGTCCAAGATGCAGTTAGTTTAGATTTACCTTCTGAGACCTGGGATAACCAACAGCAACCTCCATAGGGTTAACGTATCTGAAATGACGCAGTGAAAGTATTACAAATTCTGAAATCATAGCCTGGAAATTTTTTTCTGCTTGCAAAGCTTCTAGTATATAGCTAAGATTCTCCACTGATTATTGACTGGTACCTCAATTTATCTCACAAATTTAGCTTCTATGTAGAGCTGATTGGCATCTGGTCGGCCTCTGATCTATTCATAGTCTTATGTTGTGTACTCGAGATCCAGTTTGGGGTCAGCAGTAAAGTAAGTTATGAGTCTAGCATCATTTGATCCAAGGCTTTGAGTGTGAAAATTGTATTGTTGCTCCAGATATAATCCTTACTTAGGCATACTATGACAATAGATCCAACTTTGGATTTTCCCAACCTTCATGTTTTGCAGAACATTTAAGTTGTGGTCTATTACCTGTTGCACTAGATATACTATTACCTGTTGCTTTGATAATAGTGGTAAACGATCCGAGCTTATTCGGACTCGGTTCATATTCAACTAGATTTGTACTCTACTTGAGCTCGTTCGTTTAAAAAACGAGCTAAACTCCAACAATTTTTTAAGTTCGTTGAAAAAACGAACATCATAAGCTCGGCTTCAAAGAAAATTAGAGTAATGGCATTTGAAGAAACAATAACTAATGACATACAAGAAAGCAAAAGCCAGAAAATCTCACATTCAAAGTGAGGAAAAAGGTTAAAAGACATACATACATTAGTTGAAATTGAAAGGATAGGTTAAAGTCTTCCTGAAATTGTTGTGTAAAACCTTCAGCACTTCATGGATCGACGTACCAGTTATACAGATCATCCATCGGAGGATAACAGCTTGTGACAACAGAAGGTTTTTACACGATTAAATCCCCTCAATCAACGTGCTGGAAATGATAAACCGAATACAAACTTAATCTTTGACATTGTTTGCACAAAGTGACTACACTCAAGTTTGAACCAGAAAGGTTAAATAAGGGTTTGAGACGGGGAACTGAAACAAACAATGGGCTTAGACCTTAGCAGGGGTGGGTACTCCTCCACCTCCTCTTAATGAAAATGTGGAACTGCGACTAGAGCTCCTATTCATCAAAGGGGGGTCGAGAAATACAACTACAACTGTGATGTCATCGTGGAAATGTCTTCTCACCCCTCGATCAATTTTCTTCAGGTCCGAGTATCTCATCTCTCTTTTTTTGGCTGCTACCCGAAGCGCTGCTTTAATCAGTCTCTTAGCTATTCCCTGCAATATTGTATACCATGTTAAAGAAAATCATCAGAAAAGTTTGNGATTCAACTAGATTTGTACTCTACTTGAGCTCGTTCGTTTAAAAAACGAGCTAAACTCCAATTTTTTAAGTTCGTTGAAAAAACGAACCTCATAAGCTCGGCTTCAAAGAAAATTAGAGTAATGGCATTTGAAGAAACAATAACGAATGACATACAAGAAAGCAAAAGCCAGAAAATCTCACATTCAAAGTGAGGAAAAAGGTTAAAAGACATACATACATTAGTTGAAATTGAAAGGATAGGTTAAAGTCTTCCTGAAATTGTTGTGTAAAACCTTCAGCACTTCATGGATCGACGTACCAGTTATACAGATCATCCATCGGAGGATAACAGCTTGTGACAACAGAAGGTTTTTACACGATTAAATCCCCTCAATCAACGTGCTGGAAATGATAAACCGAATACAAACTTAATCTTTGACATTGTTTGCACAAAGTGACTACACTCAAGTTTGAACCAGAAAGGTTAAATAAGGGTTTGAGACGGGGAACTGAAACAAACAATGGGCTTAGACCTTAGCAGGGGTGGGTACTCCTCCACCTCCTCTTAATGAAAATGTGGAACTGCGACTAGAGCTCCTATTCATCAAAGGGGGGTCGAGAAATACAACTACAACTGTGATGTCATCGTGGAAATGTCTTCTCACCCCTCGATCAATTTTCTTCAGGTCCGAGTATCTCATCTCTCTTTTTTTGGCTGCTACCCGAAGCGCTGCTTTAATCAGTCTCTTAGCTATTCCCTGCAATATTGTATACCATGTTAAAGAAAATCATCAGAAAAGTTTGTTTTCATTTTGTGTCTTTACATGTAATTTTCAACGGTATCCATTCTACATTATTGAAACAGCAAAATGATCACCAAAGGCAAAAAGCTATAAAAAAGTTTTTTTTAAATAAGTTGATTTGATAAATGAATTCATTTTTCGCATTTTTTCCCAACTTGGCGAAGATGGTTTTCAAATGGGTTTATGCGAAGATGTTTTCAAGCTGTTAAGGATACGAGGTAATAAAAATTAAATTTGACACAAAAGTCAGTACGTTCGCACTTCAAGCTTACGCGACTATTCTTTAATAACGATTCGAAGTTTCTCTCATCATTTTAATTATTTTAAAAATACTAACAAATTAATGTCATTTATATTTATATAACACACGGGATCTCACACAATCAGAAAGCTCGATGACGGGAGACTGGTTTCATCTTCCTCCTTTGCGAAAAAAGTACTCTATACTTTTTAGAGAGTTTTTAGAGCTTTACTAGATTTGGAAAAATTTTCCATTACTTTCCTTCCTTAATTTTGTGATTTGCAAATCTTCTGTGGCTGGCTAATCTTTTATACTAAGGCTAGGGGAGATTTCATTTCATTTGGGTATGTAAATTAATCTTATGTTCTTCATTTGATGATTACTTTATTAATTCAATCTATCTTATTTTAGCAAATGTTTCTCTCTATATAATTCCTTCAGTTATTATGCTAATTGTGATGGATGCTTGAGATCCCCTATGAGTTGAATAGCTAGATGTACATGTTTGGGTTAAATTGTTAGAATTTTCATTTAATTAATTGATTTTTAGTTTTTATGAATTTGGATGTTTGATTGGTTAATTGATTAATTTATCTTCGACTCCACGCATGTTAAATGTTTGTACTTAACAAGTGAATGTTTGGATTCATTTAGATTAACTCAATTATTATACTTTAAGAGAATTTCTTAAATAATTATTGTCAAACCCTCCAATTGGGTTCACTCCCTAGTTGATTCTCAATTGAGATTGTAAATTAGAATTAATTTCTCCAAATGTAATTGAAATAGTACCCAATGCCTTAATATTTTTCCACATTACTTTTCTTAAACAATTTTAGTTTATTTGTTTTAAATTCCAATTATCAAATCGCTCTCTCAAACATACAACATATTTTCTTTCGTTAATCCTTTTTCACTCCATAATTTTTCATCTCCCAGTGGATCTACCTTAGAATCTACCAATAATTACTACTTGTTTGACAACCTATACTTAGGTTTATAACTTTTGAGGCAAAGCAACACACACACATATACACACACAACCGAGCAGCTCAAAAGCTATTCTCCATGCCCACACCTTTAAGATGAATGGAAAGTCAAGCAGAGCATCAGATTGAATAGGGTAACCTTTGATCAAGAGAAAGGTGTTGAGTCTATAGTTTCCATGTTCTAATGTTTACGTTATGGACTATACTTCTAGAACATAGAAGGAGTTTCAATCGAGTCTCTGAGTGGTGTGTTGTAACTAGTAGCGCATCATGCATCTCAAGAGTACCTACATTGTGCAGAAATAATGTAAATTAATCTTTTGCTTCAATGGACATAGATGCACAAGCTATTGCTTCAATTTGCATTTGTTATCCAACAAGGGAGTGTCATAGATGAAGAAATAGAACTGTAAAATAATAGTAAGAAGCAAATAAGATTTTAGCCATCGCACTCAGATTTTCAACCACGGAAGACAAGATCATCTTTTGCTTCAATGGAAAAAGTGTTGTATCTTGAAAACGTTAGCGGAACTGAGGATTGTTCACCATGCAAATCTAGTCCGTGATTGCAACTTGAACAGGATGCCTTTTAGAAAAGAAAAGAGAGAATTATATTTAAACTACACGAGATTTGTCATTTAATCACTCAAATTCTCTAACATTTAAAATATTATATATAAACCCCCTAAAGTTTGTACACGCATAATATTTGGACCCCTCCCGCCAATGTTTATTAATATATTTGTTAGTCAATTACACTCAAATCATCTAAAGTTTGTAGGTGTATAATACTTTAAACTCTCAAATTTAAAATATTATATTTACACAAAATACTCTAATTAAATATATAATATCAAATATTTTAAATTTTACAACCAAAATTTATGTTCTATTATATCATTTATTAAAATAAAATAAAAAATAAAAATATATTTTTTTCTTAAAAAAACGTAATTATTATACAATTATACTATCTATTAGAATAAAACTAAAAATTCAAACAAAGGGTCTAAGTCATTCATAATAAAATCAAAAATAAAAATCTAATTTTTTCTTGAAAAATCATAATTAGTATATAATTATATTATCTATTAGAATAAAACTAAAAAAGTAAATAAGAGATAAAATAACATTTTATATTTGAGAAGTCTAAGTATTATACGCCTACAAACTTTAAGGGATTTGGGTGTAATTTATTAACAAATATACTAACGGATATTGACTGCAACTCTGCAAGTGTCTAGGTGTTACACATATACAAACTTCAAGGGGTCTGTGTATAATATTTTAAATATTAAGGGTCTGAATGATTAAGTAAGAAACTTTAGGGGATTAGAGTGTAATCCTCTCAAAAGAAAAAGAAAACAGTGCCGATGGATGTTAAAAACGTGAAATAAATTGACGTTTTTAAACTAAAATTTTATTTTAAAAACATCAATTGAATTGACGTTTTTAAGTTAAACATTTTTTTTTGTAGACTAATATTTTTATTTTAAAGATATCAATTAGACTAACATTTTTAAGCTAAAATTGTCAATTCAACTGATGTTAAAACTACCCAAATTTGGAAAATATTTTTAAAACCGTCTCATTTTGAGAATTATTTTTTCAAACTACTTGGGTTTAGCAAAAAGTTTAAAGAAGAACGTACTCGACACATTTTATTCTTTTCTCCGGTGACAAACCCTCAATCGAACTTATTTGACCNTTTAAAGAAGAACGTACTCGACACATTTTATTCTTTTCTCCGGTGACAAACCCTCTATCGAACTTATTTGACCCACACTATGGAAAGGTCCAAACCAACCACCTTTACTTGTGAAATTTTTTTTTTTTTTTTTGTGGTACATTGGAATATGAAAAAAGGGTTATTTAAACCCTCTAGTAAAAGACGTACAAGAAAGATCATTCAAAATAAGTTGGCCCAACAGAGACGGTGGGCTTTCAAAAAACACAAAAGGATCATGTTGATGGCCTCCCAGGCTTGCCATCTTATCAGAGCAAAAATTTCCTTCTCTCAAGGTATGAAGAATAGGAGTATTGGTCAGTCTCATAATGTACTTGCAATTAGCAATGATATTCCTTTGAAGATGAACATCCAATATCACAATGTACAAAAGGTTGAAAATGACCATTATACTTGATATTTCTCTTTTAAAAGAAGTGAANAGATGAACATCCAATATCACAATGTACAAAAGGTTGAAAATGACCATTATACTTGATATTTCTCTTTTAAAAGAAGTGAAACTCGCTTATCTAAAAATTAGAGGGAAAAAATTGCCAAACATACAAGCAATCTCATTGGGATATTTAAAGAGCACATCAAGAAGAATAACAGAAAGCAACACAAATAAACACCCTAATCCATACTATAGGGTTAGGGTGTTTTATTGTCGATTTTGTTAACAATTACCCGCATCGCGGGTGTGTGGGTTTGTTATATAAGGAGTTACAATTGCGTTTTTTGCTTTGTTGTTTTGTTTATGACTTAATTATACGAGTATTTTCTTTTGGATATCTTGATGAAATTTTGATTCCAGGCATTGTTGTTTCCAAGTGCTTTTGCTGAGTGGTTTGATTTTCAGTTTAGAACTGAGTTGTTTCTAGTCAAAATGTTCCTTTGAAGAGTAAGCTGGCGAGGGTAATGTTTCTTCTTGACTGAGAAGAGCTCTCAGGGAAGATCCAAAAGGAGGATAAGTGTTCTTCTCATAGTGTGAACTTGCAAGTTGAAACTATGTAGCAGTTGGATAATTTTGAGTTTGAGAATCTGTTGGGATAATATCAAAAAATACTGGGAGAACTGCGTTTACTAACAATTTGCGGTCCCCAGTGGTGTTATCCCCATATCTGCTTTCTAACTTGGATTTCTGGATATGTTTCTCTTCATTGATTCTGTGTGCCACAGCATGGGATTTTTGGTGATGGAGATGCTCTTCCGTCCAAGATGCAGTTAGTTTAGATTTACCTTCTGAGACCTGGGATAACCAACAGCAACCTCCATAGGGTTAACGTATCTGAAATGACGCAGTGAAAGTATTACAAATTCTGAAATCATAGCCTGGAAATTTTTTTCTGCTTGCAAAGCTTCTAGTATATAGCTAAGATTCTCCACTGATTATTGACTGGTACCTCAATTTATCTCACAAATTTAGCTTCTATGTAGAGCTGATTGGCATCTGGTCGGCCTCTGATCTATTCATAGTCTTATGTTGTGTACTCGAGATCCAGTTTGGGGTCAGCAGTAAAGTAAGTTATGAGTCTAGCATCATTTGATCCAAGGCTTTGAGTGTGAAAATTGTATTGTTGCTCCAGATATAATCCTTACTTAGGCATACTATGACAATAGATCCAACTTTGGATTTTCCCAACCTTCATGTTTTGCAGAACATTTAAGTTGTGGTCTATTACCTGTTGCACTAGATATACTATTACCTGTTGCTTTGATAATAGTGGTAAACGATCCGAGCTTATTCGGACTCGGTTCAGATTCAACTAGATTTGTACTCTACTTGAGCTCGTTCGTTTAAAAAACGAGCTAAACTCCAATTTTTTAAGTTCGTTGAAAAAACGAACCTCATAAGCTCGGCTTCAAAGAAAATTAGAGTAATGGCATTTGAAGAAACAATAACGAATGACATACAAGAAAGCAAAAGCCAGAAAATCTCACATTCAAAGTGAGGAAAAAGGTTAAAAGACATACATACATTAGTTGAAATTGAAAGGATAGGTTAAAGTCTTCCTGAAATTGTTGTGTAAAACCTTCAGCACTTCATGGATCGACGTACCAGTTATACAGATCATCCATCGGAGGATAACAGCTTGTGACAACAGAAGGTTTTTACACGATTAAATCCCCTCAATCAACGTGCTGGAAATGATAAACCGAATACAAACTTAATCTTTGACATTGTTTGCACAAAGTGACTACACTCAAGTTTGAACCAGAAAGGTTAAATAAGGGTTTGAGACGGGGAACTGAAACAAACAATGGGCTTAGACCTTAGCAGGGGTGGGTACTCCTCCACCTCCTCTTAATGAAAATGTGGAACTGCGACTAGAGCTCCTATTCATCAAAGGGGGGTCGAGAAATACAACTACAACTGTGATGTCATCGTGGAAATGTCTTCTCACCCCTCGATCAATTTTCTTCAGGTCCGAGTATCTCATCTCTCTTTTTTTGGCTGCTACCCGAAGCGCTGCTTTAATCAGTCTCTTAGCTATTCCCTGCAATATTGTATACCATGTTAAAGAAAATCATCAGAAAAGTTTGTTTTCATTTTGTGTCTTTACATGTAATTTTCAACGGTATCCATTCTACATTATTGAAACAGCAAAATGATCACCAAAGGCAAAAAGCTATAAAAAAGTTTTTTTTAAATAAGTTGATTTTATAAATGAATTCATTTTTCGCATTTTTTCCCAACTTGGCGAAGATGGTTTTCAAATGGGTTTATGCGAAGATGTTTTCAAGCTGTTAAGGATACGAGGTAATATATGCAGTAAGAATGATCACCAGTAATGGTCATGATTTGTAATACATATGTCAAGAGAGACTGAAAGCTTACATTACGAGGGTAACTGTGGACAATATCGACGGCCTCCTGGTTGCTAAGATGCTCCCATAGACCATCAGATGCAAATATGAGAAACTGATCCTTGGGGTTTAGTTTATGTATACATATTGATGGTTCTGGACTAAGGATTGGCTTGTGGAAGGGTTCAGGCAGTCTAAATTTTGCCAATAAAGGTTCTTTGTTAAACTCTGACTTCTTCAAGTATGCATCACCAATGGATCTTGAAACCTGTAAAGATAGCATGATAAGAAGATCTATTACCCGAAAATGACACAGGTACAAAATTTCTATCTTGTTATCAGAAAAATAATGTCTTCAATTCAGCAACGGGGCATCCATAGATACATTTATCATTGCTAACGAATTGCTGGACCATTTAGAGCACAAGTGTAAGTTGTCAGTTCAAGGAAAATTTGAGACATATCATAGTAAGCAACTGCTATACATAAAGTGATAGTTTCAACAGACTGAAAAACTGTTGACCACTTCGCCTATTGAATAACATTATTGAGATGAGCAATACGATGACCATGTTGAGCAGAGTATCTAAAGGACCAAAGAAAGCTTCACTTATGCAAAATCCAAGAACGACATTGGACAGCGTATCTAAGATTCTAAAGGATCAAAGAAAACCATTAAGAGTGGTTCAAGAATTCTGCTCGACCAAAGTTTAATCCTGACTAAGTTGTTCAGAACATTCAGCTCAACAGGAAAAATGGGGGAAAAAAAATTCAGAACATTCATGGGTAAATAGGGACACCTAAAGGATGCAAGAATTTAGAGCTGACGGCCCCTCATCTCCACTCAGGCCAGCCGAACCCTGCATCCCAGATGAAGAACATATTTCAAAAAAAGAAACCCTACGGAAGCAAATTCATAAAGCCCTTGTTCTACTAACAAAGAAATTTTTCCGGTGTTATTGTAAGGGAATGGGTTTTTCCTGAGACTGAAACAATTCTTGATACACGAAGAATTTGGTAGCCAAAACTTCAGTAGACTCGGTATGGCCATTCTATAGTTTGAGGCAAAGTACCCCAGTCCTTTGTGTGTCATGGTTGACATTTCCATAAGGTATGCTACACTTTGAAGCAATATGCCTTTTCTCATCCAAACAAGTTCCTACTCACACATATCTCCCAAAGGAGGGTGGAGCAAGAGAGAAAAAGGGAGCATCCTAACTTATGGCATATGAAATGATATTATTGTAGATAACACCCGAAAAAACAAAGATTACCTGAATGAGACCCTTCACACGCCAAACCTTGTGTCTTAAAACCACTATTTGTGAATCGTGGGGATGCAATGAACGAAGCTCGTCCCTTACAGATTCAATACTTGCATTGTGCTCTGTTGATAACTGAATGGCTGTGACTCCTCTAACAGCATTCTCCGCTCTCCCTAACACCACACGGGAGTCTCCAACATTTGCAACATAGAGGAGTCCATTGCATATCACTCCCACCAAACAACATGATCCCACTGATGCAATTTGCGGCTTAGTAAGCCACTGCTCCCTTACAACATAGAGAAAGTCCTCTTCAGTTGCCAAGAAAGCCTTTTTTATGACAGTTGCAGATATCTCTTGATGCTCAGAGGCGAATTCTGTATCAAAGAAAAGAATGAAGTCACAATCAGCAACAAAATCTATTTTTGATACATTTAGAAAAGAAAAGCTTTCTCTTAAATGAGGACTAACAACTAGTTGTAAACTGATGAAGTCTAATCATGAAGATGTGATCTGGAGAGAAATTATAATGGTTCAACTGATATATACCTTAAGCACATAAGATCAAGAATGAAGTCCACTGGGGCTAAAATAGAAAACCCAGGGACCATGAAAATTATGTTATATCTCATTTTTAGGAACATAACTCGTGTCTTGCAGGGGGAATTTGGATTTCGGGCCCAAAATGTCAGCATGTTGCAAAACAATATAGTTTACACTAGAAAACCATTTGTTATTTTACCTGTGATCACTTCACGAATTCTTCTTCTTCCACTTAACCCTGTTCAGAGATTCTATTAAATTGTCCATCATCATTTTTCCCCTCACCCAGTAAATTCACTTCTTTCGGGCCTTCTCTCTAGTTGGACGCGACAATTAAACATCATGAATAATGTGAGATTTCTTGCTTATTTCAGAATGGGAATACGTCCAAATTTGGTCGAAACTTTGTGGGACAAAATGTCAGAGACAGGCAAAGATGATCATAATTGTTAAAAGGAGTGATCTGGCATTGTGTATAATTCTTTGCTCTTAACTCCATTTGGGCCTTTTCAAGAGTCCTTTAGCTAAAATAAAATGAGACATAATAATTGGTACTTTCGGTTTAAGTACTCCATGACCTTTAGCTCAGCTGGTTTTGGTCATAGGTGGCTGAGACTTGAGGGAGGCCTTTTTACAGTTATATTATAATTTGCTTCCTGCCAAGAAAACAAAAATAGAAACCATATACAGTGGAAAAACAGGGTTATTTCATATTAGATATTGTCTTAGCTATGGATTTCTATACATTACTCATAGTACAATCTCATTTAAGAAATGTGCAGGCATAAAGTGCTTGAAATCCACTGCTACAGAGTATCACTCATATTACATATTCCTCTGATAGGTACATGCAATATCACTATATTCTCGCTCTTCTCTTCCGAATATTACATACTAACTGACACATGGGAGAAATCCAATTTCCACCAAGTCGATCTCTATAGCATTAATTATGTTGAAGTCAGCAGGGTTGAGGATTGTCATTAGTAACTAATGATACCATATGAGAAACAAACAGTAGAAAAAAGTCAAATTCGTATTAATGTAGCTATAACACATAGGAATCATTTAGATTTGACAAATGAAACAGATGAATAAATCAACATTGTTGAACCGTCAACTCTTCTACCTATACTTATATTCAAATTAGATTGAAATATAGCTTAACTTAGTGTAATCCAGCATAGTCACACACATGAACAAATTCAACACCATCACTATCAACTATTGAAATTTGAAACTGTACTAGAACTAACTTGTATAAATAGGCATTCACAAGAGAAAGTACGTACTTTTGAGATTGGGGAACAGATTTTCATTCAGAAACCGCGATGTCTCTGGTCCTCCATGTCCATCGTAGACCCCAATGAACGTACCATAAGGACCTGAATCTAGTGAACTCAACGGCCCTGATTCAAGTTGGCTTTGATCCTCCAACAAACTATTAGCTTGAACTACTGCCATGGAAAATTCTCCATTTACATGGGGTCCCAGGTCCTTATACCACAACAACCCATCAAACTTGCCATTTGGATCTCCTCCTCGACGACAACTATCCCCAACCCGGCTTAGTCCATCACCCTCCACAATTGGTTTCCAACAAGGTTTCACCATTTTCATGTAACCACTTGAATTCACATGTATATCATCTAAATTACCCCCCCGCCCAAAACTTAAAAGTCTCATAAGATTCAATTTTCAAGTACAATTCCAATTTCAACAAACCCTAACTGTATATCCATCAACCAAAAGACCCAGCAAACAATATATTCATCAAACCCAGCCTCAAGTCTAGTTTCTTATTATTCTCCAAACACACAACCCCAATTCTTGATACTTTATACCCACCAGCACTACAAGACCCAGACACCATTAATATGAACAAACTACAAAAAAGACCAAATGGGTATGGGCAATTTGAAACAACAATTGTCTATCAAGACAAGAAAGCAAAAGTTTTTATGTGAGTTCAGAGACTATGGATGTGTGCTGGTGCCGCATACCTTGAATCTGGCTTGAATGTGTATGGACCTTCCATGGGTGTGTCACCTCTCAACAACAGCCTTAGCTGTAAAAACATATATAGATTTGATGGAGACAGAGTTTGTTCCTGGATCAGAGGGATCAAAACATGCATATGGATAAGAAAAGGGTTTGGGAAATTTTTGGCAGAAAGATCTTCCAAAATGGTGTCAGATGAGATCTCAGATGATGGGCGAAAGAGTGTGTGAAGGGAATAATATAAAGAGTTTTGTAAACTAACAGTGCTCTGACAATTTGTTTTCAATACCCTCCCCCTATTTTCTCTCTCCTTCAGTATCCCTCTCCTCTCAAGTTTGATGCTTTGCCATTTTGTGGCCAAGTAAATTTCCAAGGGTTTCTTATTGCATGGCTGAGAATTTAGTTTTTTCACCCTTATGAACAGTAATCCACCATTTTAGGTAATCTAACTTTTTTTGGTTGTTTAGTGCTTGAGAGTGGAATTTCTCCTAAACAGGAAGTAACCCACTATTTTAGGTAAATTATGCTCAGTTGCTCTCAAGTTTTTTCTACTACATAATTTTTGTGTTTTTTGTCCTTAATCACCAAGAAATTGAAATTTTCCAAAAATAGAGTAGTTTTTTTTTTTTTTTTTATCAAAATAGAGAAGTTGCAAACAAAAAAATCTCTTTCTTATATAACCATATTTGTACATTATTTTACTTACGCTTTCTTATCATTTAACGATCTTTAGAATATTTATTATTTTACGTATAATTTATATTCAAGAGATTAATTAAAAATATTTTAGATCACACTACTTACACCTTTTCATATAATCGTCATTAGTCTCTTTGCACTCTATTAATATCTAACTTTCTATTTTTTTAATTTGTAATGACGAATCTAGTTTACACTTTCAGAGTTTAGGATTTCAAAATGAAGATGAACATTTCTTAGCAACTTGAGATAATCAAACCCACATCTTAAATTTGATGAATCTAGTTTACGAGTCCTTGTCTCCATACAAGTCTTGTTCAAGGTTTGAACTCCTAATCTTTTTATCCGGAGGTGGCTTTGCATCGAAGACAGACCCATAGGGATTTTAACTTTTCGGATCCATATATTTTTCAATTATAAATAAAAATAAGTTAACTACAAGGAAATCATCCCTTCATGCTTCTATATATGGCATTGCACTCTTTAATCACAAAATGAAGGGGTAGTCATGTCTCTTAAGCAATCTTTGCAAATTGTGACTTGTAAGACATATGAAGCCTGGCTTCTGAAGACACAGCACCCAAAAGCAATCCAGTTGTTTCTGTAAGCAGATTTTTATAAGTGCTTTATTGATCACTTATGGTTGAGATGTACATCTCTTCTATTGGGACTAAGAAATGCTAAATGCCCTGAAAAAATTTTAATTTCTTTTTATTACATTTTCATTTGTTTATTTTAATAGTAGATCACCCAATATATAAATTTGAGGGGTCGGTTATAACAAAAATAGATCCAACTTGAATGTATGATGAATGATTTATAATTGATTGTAATCATAATACAAAAAGATCTCAGTTTGCATTCATGGGGTTTGAAATGATATAATAATGAATAATGGTGATTACTTTTAATTATCAGCTATTGTCGTCCGATCTTTTGCGATGCATGGTCATCGGCTTCTCCTCCCAATGTCTTCTTCACTTCTTACTTTCTCTCACCCATTATTTTATAAATTAACAAAAATATTGTAGAAACTATTGGACTAAAAAATTTGATGTGTCAAAAAATTTAAATAAGTGGTGTTTAGAGGGAGTGTAAGGGTAGTTATTTGGATTAGTTAATAGAGGCATTTGGTCGAATATGATTCAAATTTCTTAAAAACTAAAAAAGTTAGAGGGTATATTTCTCAAGTCCTCTCCCTAAGAAATTGTTTTTTTATATATATAGTATGTATATCTTTTTACTAGCAATAATCTCGCGCCTAAAGATCCTCCGTAATATCAAAAATCGAACATTGATTATGCAACGTTTATGTAAAAAATAATAATTAAGAAGTGTGTTGATTGCGTAAAGGAGAGAGAAGCGAGAAGTATGTCTGAATTAGGTG